AGATGCATTATCGAACTCCGACCTCGAACCCGCTTCTACAGACAACTAATGAACGTTGAAGCGAGCTAATTAACGGATCTGCTATGGCTAAAAGAGAACCAAATTGAAGCGGGAAGGTTGCAAAATAAGAACACTAGATTTTAGAGAATATTTTTGGTGTAGTGAAAACAGTAAGCTTCTGAGATATGGCGGCTGAAGCTTTTTTAGTATTTTAAGGGGGGTAAAGCTGGGGCTCAAAACCATCAACTTTTGGGGTGAAAGGGGCGGCCGAAAAAAACCCTCCCCAGATGGACTCCAAGTGCTGATTTTTATAGGAGAAAATCTAGGGTTCTTGACTTGGGCGGGATTTTGAAATTTTCAGATCTTTAATTTTGGTCAACATATCCGTTTGAATTTGGACGTTGGGGATTTGGATCTTCACGTGATTTACTTTGAAAATCTTAAAAGCATTTGGCTTCTTCTGTTGACTGATCTTGTTGCAGATGAGGGAGGTAAAGATTTACTCAAAATTGGTGTGACAAGTTCTGCTGTGCGTTGATGGAGATGGAAAATTTCATTGAAATGGGAAGGGAGAAGAAGAGGACAAAAGGGGCGCATGTGAGAGAGGAAGGAAATCAGAAGACCTAGTAATTAGGCTAATGGGCTGCTGATGTTGATTTTTTTGGGCCTAAATGGTCTAAAAATTAAGTTCAAGATTGGGCTATTAGGGATGGAATTTTGTGGACTTTGTCTTCAAAGGATGTTTGGGTCGATTTTATTCTTGCCAAATTTGGGCTTGAATGATCTAAATATGATGGCCTTCAAATTGTCTCGTGAAGAAAGTAACTTTTGGGCTTATAATTAGGCCTAAGGCAATTGGAACTCTCCTTCTTATAATTAATTCCTTTGAGATTCTAACTAACCTCTTTTAGTCATACTTTAATATACAAAGTAGATGTTAATAATTATACAATAAAACATAGTAGTAAAATTAGTAATACTAAGAATGATGATAATAAAAGTGACAGCGATATTAGTAGTAGTAGTACTACTACTACTATTGATAATAATAATAATCACTATAATGATAATAATAGTAACAACAACAACAACAACAACAACAACAATAATAATAATAATAATAATAATAGTAGTAAATGTAAAAAAAATAAAAAAAGTATTTTATGTAATAATAATTTAGAAGCTCAAGGAAATTAATTGAAAGAAAGGAAGGACAAAATTGGATGTCAACAATTGGTACAAGTTTGAATAAGCTTATGGGATATGTTTGTGTTTTTGGTTGAGGTCCCGGGGGCCTCGGGGTGATTTCGGATGGTTGACAGGGAGTTTGGGAGGTTGGTTGAGCTGCAGATTTTTGTTGCTTCAGTTGTTTCCGCACCTGCAGATTGGGGACCGCAGGTGCGATGCCGCAAATGCAGAGGATTGGCCGCAGAAGCGGAAGATGGTGAAGTTGGAAGGAACCGCAGAAGTGGTTGTGGCACCGCATCTGTGATGGCGCAGGTGCGGAATGTTCATCGCAGATGCGGAAGCTGGGGAATAAGTGAAAAACCGCAGAAGCGGCTCTTGGACCGCAAAAGCGGTACCGCAGATGCGGTGGATTGAACGCAGGTGCGAAAATACCTGGGTCAGAATGTATATATTCCTTCCTTCACGATTTTTAGAGGGTTTCACCATTTTTAAACGCGAATTCTGGAGTTTTGGGCGATTTTGAAAAGAGGGTTCAAGGAGACTTCATTGAGGTAAGGATTTTGGACCTAAAACTCGTTCCTATGGTATTATTTCACGGATTAGGGCTGTAATTGATGGGATTTAAGGAGTAAAATTTGGGGAAACTAGGGCTTGGAAACTTAGACCTTTGATTGAGGATTTGAAGGACCAATTGTGGTCGGATTTCAGAACTTTTGATATGTATGAACTCGTGGGGAGATAAGGAATCTATTGATGTGAATTTTACCGAATTCTGAGATGTGGGCCCGGGGGTCTGGTTTTGGTAATTTCGGGATTATTGTTGTAAATTGATTATTTTCACTTGGGCTTCGTTCCCTTAGCATATTTTGACGCTGTGATTCTGATTTTGGATAGATTCGACACGAGTGGAGGCCAATTCGAGGGGCAAAGGCATCGCGGGCTAGAGTTTGGACCGGATTGAGGTGAGTAATGATTGTAAATATTGTCCTGAGGGTATGAAACCCCGGATTGCACATCGTTGTGCTATATTGAGGTGACGCACACGCTAGATGACGAGCGTGGGGTCGTGCATTGTTGGGGATTGTGACTTAGTCCATCCCGAATGACTATTTTACCGCGTATTTGATTGAAAACTATTTGTTATTATGATATTTTGTGCTGAATGTCATATTTGGGCTTCATGCCAACTATTTGGACCCTTAGGGGATTTTTATTGATATTTCCTCACTGTTCTGATTTTATACTTGCACTCAGTCATGCTATATACTACTGTCTTCAAAACTCAGCCATTGCCTACTCTATTTTTAATACATTAAATGATATTTTAAATGATAATTGGGCTGAGCATCATGTTTTACTGTTGCCCGAGTGGCTTATGAGATTCTGACTGGGTAAGGCGAGGGCCTGTGTTGTGAGGATACACTGATTATGATTATGAGGTTGAGAGCCTGAGATTATACGCCACGAGGTGGCTTGTTGATTATGAGGCTGAGGGCATGAGATTTATACGCCACGAGATGGCTTGATATTGCGCTTGGGCCGTAAGGGGCCCCTCCAGGAGTCTGCACACCCCCAGTGAGCGCGGGTACCCATTGTGATGTGAGATATAGCCTGAGGGGCTGGTATTATTTCTGAGATATTGCCCGAGGGGTGGATTTGTTGACACTGTGCCCGAGGGGCAATTCTTTTATATGTTTATTTTTCCTATTTGCCTGTGATTTGCTTGCTTAAATTGTTAAAAAGGCGTTTTATGAAGTTTAAACTGCACTCAGTAATTTTACACATCTTTACTGCTTCCTTATAGCCTATAATGTGCCTTACGTGATTTCTTTCTTTCAGTCTTTATTTATGATTATTACTCACTGAGTTGGAGTACTCACTTTACTCCCTCCACCCCGTGTGCAGATTCAGGCGCTGCTGATCCTGCTCGCGAGGGTTGAGAGCTCCCGGCAGATTTCGGAGTCCACGAGGTAGCTGCTCGGTGTTCGCAGCCCCGTGCCTCCCCCCTTTATCTCATCTCTATCTCTTTTCAGTTATTCTGTAATAGTTTGGTAGACATTTCAGACTTGTAGTGTATTGATAGATGCTCATGACTAGTGACACCCCGGTATCGGGCTGTGTTGGGCTTATTTCCGCAAACTTTGATGTTCACTGCTTATACTTTGGGATTACTTATCATGTTTTAGACTTAATTCGTATTGTTTAATTGCTTAAAACTGAATGGGAATGTGTCGGCTGGCCTTGTCTTCACGAGAGGCGCCATCACGCCCGGGTCCGGGTTTAGGGTCGTGACATATTCATAAATCAGATGTTGTCACATTCACATCATGAACGGACCACAGTCATCTATATGTGCTTTACAAAATCCCATGTCAAATCGATGACAAACATTACTTTCACAGGGTGAAGGATTATTTTGAGAATCCTTATTGTTCTTATTACCACAATGATGACGATTATAATTTCGTCTATTGCCACGTCCACATCCATTGATACATTCATAGTAATAATTTTATCTTCTTTCAGACTTATCACATATTGCTATCACATTCTTTTAAGTGAATGAGAATGGAGCAAATTCAATGGGACGGGTTTCCACTTCTTTGCCCACAATCATACTTGAATTTGATCATGGTAAGACAGAGAAACTTTACCACTTCGAGTGGTTATAATTTCTTACTAACTCCATTAGAGTTATAATCAAATTTATTTTCTTTGCTTGTATTTAAAATTAAAGTATAGAATAAAAGAGAAAAATACGGTAAAATACTTACCTTAAATCCAGAATTTAATCATGAAGGAAGTTCATGGAACAATTGACAATCATTATGCTCAATCCCAAAGCTTCTACTCAATTGGTTAGAGTCTCGTGCTGATAACGTGTTATGAAACAATAAAAGAAAAAGAAAAATATTGTAGAGAAAAGTAGTGAGAGAGAATTCTTATTGATTTGGGATGAACTACAATGGAATAGAACCCTCTATTATAGGGAGGGGGTGGCTTAGCCACTAAGTAATACCCTATAATCTCTCTAAATATAGACATTCACCATAAATAAAATTCTATTTATAACATTTACTTTCTTTTTACATTATTGGGGTTTTTATACTTAAAATATACAGCCATGATTGAATTCTTTTTCCTAGAAAAAGAAATCAAGAACAATAATAACAAAGAGGCTCTGTTTGTCAAGAATACAATACCCCCTTGTCAAGAATACCGGGTAAATAGTTTGGGCTTCATGAGTAGGAGTAGTAAATAGTTTGGGCCTGAGTATTAAAGGGTAAATAGTTTGGAATTGATGGGTATAAAGTGAGATTTTCTCAATTATATAAAGAAATTCAATATATATATATATATATATATATATATATATATATAAATATATACACTTAAGAAAGTTGAGATGTTAGTTTAACTTTTCTTATCCAGATGATCAGACCTTGTGTCTGTTTTGGTATTGAATGCAGAGTGGAGTACCACAAGTTTGATATCTACAACGAAACCATGTTGTTGAATTATTAGATACACCTGACCTTTGGTGAACTAAATATATGTCTAGCATGTGTGTTGCACATCTGATGTAATTTCTGCTTTATTGGGCTTGAGGGGGTCATTAAGTTGTTATCCTTTCTCATAATTTTGTTTTCAGCGCAATTTGTTCCTTTGATTCTTGGCCTTTGTACATGTCAAAGGACAATCACATATGGCACATCTTCAATCCCATGCAATACTGTTCTTTTAGATTTGTGGGTGCTCCTAGTTTTACTGTTTTATGAGACAGTTGCTTTTACTTTTGTTTTTGAACTGCATCTTTTTTTGCTTTGATGTACAATATTTATCTCATGTTACACATATCATTAAAGTTCTCCACCCCACCCCTCACCTTTGCTCTTTCATTTGCAGCTTCATTTCAAAGTACCCTTGGAACTCAAAATGAGGATGATCCTACTAATACGACTGTCAGTACATTTCTTTTATATCAGCATTCGACGTTTTCTCTCAAACTGTACTCATATTAAACAATTTCAATTGCAGATTTTCGTTGGGAACTTGGATTCCAATGTAACGGATGATCATCTCAGGCAGGTTTTTGGACACTATGGGCAATTGCTTCATGTAAAAATACCAGTAGGCAAGCGTTGTGGTTTTGTTCAATTTTCTGACAGGTACAGTAACACACCTTCTGAAGTTTGTGAATTTCGGTGATAAGAAAACTAACATAATGGCCATTGTTATGGCAGAAGTTGTGCTGAGGAAGCTCTACGAGCTTTAAGTGGAACTCAGCTGGGTGGACAAAGCATCCGCCTTTCCTGGGGTCGTAGTCCTTCAAACAAGCAGGTTAATACTTTTGCCCAAGTGTTATTTTCTGATTTCTGCTGTATCCATTGTGCAGGCATCTGATATAAAATATATTTTCACTTCTTCAGCAGCCTCAGGTTGATCCGAACCAGTATGGTGGTTATTATGGGTATACACCAGGATATGAAGCCTATGGTTATGCTCCACCTGCTCAGGATCCAAATATGTACTATGCGGGCTATGCAGGGTATGGAAATTATGCACAACCTCCACAGCAACAGCAACAAATGTCGCAGCAGCCCCAGGTATTTGCCAAAACATTTGAGCTCTTTATCTTTTATGCCTATGTTGATGTAGGGAATGACATTGAATATATGCACATGCTACTAGGAGTGTGAAGACATACCTTGTTTGTTATATCATAGTCTGTAGTCTCCTATTCGATTTGTTAACCTCCATGCAACACTAGTGAAGAAAATGAGGTGCTAGAGAAATAAAACCTAAGAAGTTACTCAGCAATTCGTTCATCATATTGCATTTGAATCCTCATTGCTATGCAATTGAATTATATTTTGCAGTAATCTGCTGGTCAAAGGTATTGCTGAGAGCTTCCAGTCATGGTAAGGCATTGTTGTTGAAAAGCGGAGCACATGTCAGTTGAATGCAGAGGTAGTATAGTTTGTTATCTGTAGGTTGGTTCTTGGAGATACATTTATGTTCTGGGCTGCTAGCTGTCTGTTTCAATAGCTGGCTTCTTTTCTATTTCTTTTTTCTCGCTATATTGCACATGTGCCATTTTGGTTATATGTGTGATCTAGCTATGGTAAAGACCTCAGAGAGATCAAGGGCATCTTTTTATTCTTACGCGGTTTTGGCATGTCAGGCGGTGTGTATTTTGATCTATTGTGGTACTTTTATTTCTAATATTTGTTCTAGATTTGGTTTTGTTTACCAGTTCTTTTAAATTATAACATCTTGCTGGTTTATTACCATCTTTGACTTTAGATGGCTTGTCAGTTTTATTCTGGTATTGGTGCTTTAGATGGCATCATTAAAGATTGTGATTACGAATTTACAGTGATCTTCTACATTTGCTGAATAAGGTCCGCTACTCTAGTTTGAGTCAATGTTGTGTGTTTAGATGGTACTGATTTTGTTTTTACCCCTGATGCAACATAAATTTCATGGATTTAAATGCTATTACATGTCATGGAAGTAATAGAAAAGGTTCACTAGTTGCCGTGGTTGTAATTTTATGGAATAATTTGTTCTCTCAGGTCCTTGTAAAATTTGTCTAAACCACAGTTCCAACAATCTGCAATGACCAGGAAGTTAGTCACAATCTACTTTATAATTCGAAGAAATTGGTTTTGTGATAAGCTAGGACGTTGTCACATTATCATATCTTCTTTTATGGTTAGATATGGTAGTTACTTGGTTAGACTGTTGAAAAATTTCTTCTGTTCCAGCTCATGAGAATGACCCAAGTGGCAAGATTTCCAACCTAACAAAGCTGGTGTGTCACAGACCCATGTTGTCATAAACTTTTAACCGCTATATTTACACCTTAATCAGAAGTTTACCAGCCAATAATGAATTCGATTCATATCTGTGAGGTTTGTGGCCTACCACTCCAAATGGAATCACAAAAACGTAGCATTCCTGATAACAGACTGTCCATTAGATTGATCAGGGTCTGATATGTGGATACCATAGTTCAAGCTTACTTCTCTAAGCTCAGGCAGTTTACTGTTGCTCTGATCGACAACTCCTGGAACCTCTTCAGCTCTTACACGTTACTCTTCGGGCGTTAGACTCGCTTCAGCTGAGTGACAAGACGGTCTGTCGCTCCAAGCAGAAAGCGATAGGGAGCCCTGAACTTGCTCAAAAAGGTGATTGGACAGCGAAGCCTTTCCTTTCAATCCAAGCCGGTGAAGATTTATTTTGTCATAATCAAAAGACCACAAGGTAGAGAGACTTATGCATCAGTATACTACCATGATTATATATTAATTAGATTTATTGAAGATCTATTGTCCTCTGTGGAGCTCGATATTGCACCTCAGCATGCATTTGGTAGGCCAAATATGTCCATAACTTCTTACTAACATCTAATGACTAATGTGTAATCTACATCTTTCTAGCTAGAATTCGGCAGTAGAAGAATCATTGATCCAACGTTCTTTCTTAAGCAAAGGTAAACGAGGGGAAACAAAACGAAAGGGAACTCTCATCTTAACTGAAAGAAGAACTTGAGGAAGTGGGAATTAAGAGTTGATACATGAGCTAAAAGCAGAACTAGTTAGCCAAAAACATCTTTGTTAAATCTTTTTTAATTCTATATTTGTTAATTTACTAAGGTAATAGCTTCTAGTTCTCTGTCAGAAGATGGCGTAGAAAGTATGTGATCTTGTACATGTTGAAAAGTGAAAACTAAAGATAATGACAAATATGTAATCTTTTAAGGCGTCACTCTTTTTAAGTTCTATCCCTTCTCCTTTTTTTGTGTGCGATAAAGTACAACTTCTATACATGGACAATGTAAAATAATTTTTGCAGTATCAAGTCTCTTAGAAGATAATTACATGCAACCTGGAAGATACCTCAATCTCAAGCAAGTTAATATGAATGTTCACAAATCATATTGCTCCATTTAAGCTCACAAACATAGTCAAAAGTAGAGGGGTGCATTTTTTTCCTGAAGTATTTTGACACGTGGAACCCACCGCGTCAAGATTTGGCTGGGTCCAAAGCTCCCCAGTCCACTCTAGGATATGAGTTATGCTAATAATATGAAAAAGTTTTACATTATCAGTGTATATAAGTTCAATCTTTTAGGATAAAAGTGTCACTTTTCATTCTCTTGGTTAGATTGTAAATTTATAATCCAGGAATCCATATCCCAAGATCCAAAATGATAGTCCTGTGGCTATCTAACTCTACTCAGCCACCAAAGTAACACTCCATAGTGATGAGAAAAGCATACATAATTGGGATGATTCAGGTCCAGTGACTCCAAAAAAGTCTTGCAAAATAAAAGAAAAAGAAACCAAGTCTAACTCGAAGATAAGGCTCTAAACTATCAATCAATTGCTTATAAAGGGCAGCCCGATGCACAAAGCATCCCGCGTTTATGCAGGATCGGGGAAAGAGCCGTACCTAAAGGATGTGATGTAGACAGCCTAACCTAACGCAAGAGTTAGTGGCTGTTTCCATGGATCGAACCATGACTTATAGGTCACACGGAGACAACTTTACCGTTGCTCCCAGGCTCCCTTCTGTCAGCTACTTATAGATAAAATAAAATCGAAAATAAAATCTTGTTTTATCTTTATTTATAAGCTGCTTCAAGGTTGGTTTTGCTGGCCTTGGTTAACAATCTCCAAGTTGTTGTTGCCACCATCACAACTTTTATTTTGTGTTTCAACTTTTGCTGATTGATCAGAATTTCCTGTCTCTGCCTCTTCTTGTTGTGATGCTAATTGAGAACCTAACACAAGTTTGTCACCAGGATCACTTGCTTCCTTAGTTTCATTTGATGTTTCAGCATTTACTGCTAACTCAACTTCAGTTCCAACATGAGTATTTTGAGATTCCTCATTCTTTGAGTAACTCAGCTTTTCCATCATGAAGTCCATTGAAGTCTTAATCGATTCTGGAGCCGCCGCTTGAGTTTCACTAGTAACCACTACTTGGTTGATATCAGCATTTGAATTTTCATTAGTAGCCTCAGGCATCTCAACATAGTGTAGTTTCTCCATCATATGTGTATGGTTCTGTTCAATAACTTGAGTTTCAGCAGCTTGTGTTTCTTGGGCAACAGAGTTAAGTTCAGCAAATAGACTACTTTGATTGAATTGATTCTGTTGGTTTTCTTGTCCGCTTTGCGTCCAGTCTTTCATCTGAATGTCTTCATTCATGGGAGAAAGTCCTTGGAAATCGACTTGAGTTTGAGCGTTTATAGGAGCTCGGTGGATCTCAAGTTTCTTCGCTTCACAGTGAACAAACTCTCCCGGCTGAAGTAACGTTTGCATATACGACTGCTCAGGATTCAGCTGCTTATCGTTCTTGGATTCAGATTCGATCGATTGGTGGTCCACAGCAGGCTGAAATGTTGAGCCCATAACTTGGTTTTGGTTGCTAGTTCCTTCACTAGCTTTTGGTTCTAATAAGGATTCTGAAAACATACCTTTTGTTGGTTCTGCATTTATTTCAGTCCCTTCTGATTGATTTGTGACTTCAAACACTTGCATTACTTCATCCTGTTCAACCATTCTAAGATTTTCCAGTGGAAGGGTAGATTGAGATTGATTTTGCTGCAGCATGATTTTACTTCGCGCCTCGTTAGATGTCATAACAGTGTCAGACTGAGGTGCCATAACAGGAGCAAATTGACTGTTATTTGGTACAAATGTTGCACTTGACATTGGCTTAGAAGGTAAAACTTGTGCTGGTGCAACATTTGGCTGGTTTTCTTGCTGAAGGTTTAAAAGTGGGGTTGAAACTTGGTTTCTATGATACATTGTAGCTGAAGGGGCAACATCATTTGCTGGTGTAATAGGAGCGAATCGCCCCGGCTGGAAAACTAATCCGCGGAGGGTGGTGGCGCTATTACCTACGCGTACTGAGATGAAGTACCCTGCATCAAAACAACCGTCAACGACACCAGAAACCATCTGTCCTATAATGTTATTACCACCAACAATGCTTCCATCTCTTTGGCTCAGTTCAACTGCATTTTGTTGAACTTTCTTGATGGTTTCAGGTGGTGGGGGAGTCACTGGAGATTGTAAATTCCCTCTTTTAGCAACACCTCCATCTTTGCGTGGGCGGCCGCGCCTTCGCTTTGCTGGAAGGATGGTTGGAGCTGTGGGATTATTATCTTGTGTAGTTTGCTCATTCATCCTGAGTAAATTTTGAATTATATCAAAATTCTAACATTGAGTCATTTACAAGAACTACAACAACAACAATAATTACGCCTCAGTCCCTAATAAGTTGGGGTCGGCGATATGAATCCTCATTTCTGTCATTTAGCTACAGAAAATCAAGGTGCAAAATTAACTAATAAGTTCAGAATAATATTACTTATTTGGTTTTAGCAAGGCAAAGAGAAAATGACTGGTTTATTGCTTACCTGCATAGGGTATTTCACTATATCATCGTATGTGAAAAGTGGAAACCATATAGTCCCTTCAATCTTTAATTTCATGGAAAGATAAATTAAAGCTAAAAGAAAATTTCAAGTAAATAAATTCAATGGCAAAAAGTGGACCCTAAAAACAAAACAAAATAACTATGGAGTCGAATGGAGACAACATTATAGTTGAAAAGATGAAATACAAGTCTGAATTTGACTATATGAATTTTCAATGACCATTCGTTTCCCTTTGAACCCATTTTAGAAATAAATAAATAAATGAAAAGGATTTTTGTTCACGAATAGTGATCACTCAATCTCATGAGATCGAGCCCACCAGGTCCTGACTTAACTTGTCCTCAGACAGTTAGGCCTCACTAGGCTGCTGGCATTGCTAATTATTGTCGTGATTAATTTAAGTATGTCACCAACCGAAAAAAATTCTAGATAAAAAAAGATGAATGTGACTAAGTAATCAGCTATGTCAAAATACATCCAAATCTTGATATCACCTATACATATAATTATCCTTGTTGAATACTATGATAGAGATGTTGAATTAGTCAAATTATGAATTTCACCTTCTCCAATATACTTGCCACACCATATTAACAAGGGAATTAGGGATCTTCTTCACTTTGGCTAATCAATTTATTGAATGAATTAATCAATGAACGTGTACATAATACATTATATATTAGATCTTGAAGAAAAAAGATAAAGAGAGGAGATCAAAAGGATTTCCTTAAAAGACCAAAATTTCCCTATATATGCTAGGGTTAAATTTCATATGCATATATGTAATACATTTCTATCATTTCTTTCCTAAAATAATTCAATTTACAGCAGATCTATTATTCCATGTTTTTCACGTTTACATGTATCAAGAATGTTAATAAATCAATTCATTGTATAAGTGAATTAATGTTTTACTCTAAAAAATTGATGTATAAGCCATATGGAGAAAGTGAGAATTACCTGTTTCTATATCTCACAAAAGAATTGATGGCGATAGAAATTCGTTTGAAGATCTAAAAAAGTTGTGTTTTTGTTCTCAGAAGGAATTTCTTTTCTCCTTTGTTTTTTGAGATCCTTTTTTTAATTAAAATTTTTATGGGTCGGGTAAGCACGTGAATACTGAGAGAGGAAAGATAAAATAAAGGCGAGCTTTTGGTGGGATTGTAACGCCTCAAACTAAGGTCATGTTTGTTTATTCAAGATAAAAATGTCAGAAGCTGAATACATATCTCTTATTATTAAGATGCTACATCTACATCTTAATACATAATACTTAAGATTATTTATTTTTTCTCCATATGAATGTGTGTAATTTATTTTATTAAAAATTTAATAAATGTTAAATTTAAATAAAACAATAACTATAAATTACATACATCCACATGACATTAGAAAACAATTAATTTATATGGTGCCATAAAAATTATTTGTTTGATAAACAAACTATAAATGTTAGTGGTGATTATCGACAACAATGGTTGTAAAGTGATGGTTAACAGTGATTATGGTTGTAAAAGTAATTGTTGATAGTGGTTGCATATTGGTTGCAATTGGTGATTGTTCAGTAGTGATCAGAGGTGATTATTGTGCAATGGTGGTGGACAACAGAGGTGGTTGATAGTAATTGTGGCGGTTGGTGGTAGTCGATAGAAAAAATGCCTCTCTGCAAAGATCTTATGTAACGACCTAATCGGTCGTTTTGAGCTTTAGCATTTCCTTCGGCAGTTTGAGATTTCGAGTAGCTTCACTTTATATATTATGACTTACACGTATGGTTGATTTTGATTTTCAAGAAGTTCGGGGCTTATTTGGAGAAATAATTCTCAATTTGGAAGCTTTAAGGTGGAAGAGTTGACCAAGGTTTGACTTTTGAGTAAACGATCTCAGAATCGGCATTTGAAGGTTCCTATAGGTTCATAAGGTAATTTTGGACTTGGGCGTATGTTCGGGTTGAGTATTGGATGGTCCGGGAGTGATTCATCGCTTATCGAAAGTTTGCATTCTTGAAGTCTTGAAATTTGCTAAGTTAGACTTGGAGTGTGCTTTGGTATTATCGGACTCCGGCGGTGTTTCGGGACCTTGGATAATTCATTTTATTGATTGGAACTTGTACGTGAAGTTTGGTCGTGATCCAGAATGCCTAAGTGTGATTCGGAGGTGTTCGGTGAAGGATGAAGGTTTGAAAGTTAAGAGAGTTTAAAAAATTGAGTTTGATCTTTAATTCTTGGTTGCCATGTTGTAATTCGTGTTCCGCGCCTTTGGACAAGTTTTCAAGGGTATATAAACTTGTTAGAGTGATTGGACAAAGTTCCTCGAACCTCGGGTGAGTTTTGGGGTGGTTTCATACCAATTTTAGGCCCTTTTGAACTGATGATAATTGATGCCAGGGGTGTGAATCGCGGTCGTGGAGGTCTGGGCCGCGATCGTGAAGAGTAAAGTGCATTTCAGGCCTTGCGAATCGCGATCGCGGAGAAGAAATTTCTGCTGTCAATGGTTTGACTTCGGGAGCTTATATCTTGCAATCTATAAGGAATTTGGAGACAATTCAAAAATAAAAGTTAGTTTTTAGAAAACCAAACCATTCGTTATGTAGAATTTTGTACAAAAAGTTATGACCGTTATACTAAAGGGTGTCTGTGAAGAGAAAAACATAATTTGCACATCGCGAACACGGGTTTCTTGGCTGCGATCGTGATGAAGAAAACGATGCTGGAATATTTGTTAACCCTGATCTCATGGCTAATGACCGCTATCATGAAGAAGGAGGTCTGACATGTGTATTAAACATCTAATTTAAGGATTTTGAGTTCATTTATTCACTTTTAAGTTCCTGGAGCATGACTGAGCGATTTTGGGTGATTCTTGAAGACCATTTTGGCCATATATTATAAGGTAAGTTATTCCTACTTGTTTCAAGTTAAATACATGGATTATATATGAATTTTAACATGAAATTTGATAGGACTTGTGGGATTTTTGGAAGAAAACCTAGAAATGGTAATTTTTGGATTTTGACCACAAAAGTGGTCATGGAATTGGGAATAAATTATATATTTGAGCTAGTGATGCTATGGGTAATATTTATCTTCAAAATTTTTTGGAATTCCGGAGCGTGGGCCCGGGGGTTGACTTTGTTGACTTTTTAAGTAGAGTTGGAAATTATTATAAATTATTAAATTATGAGTATTGGAGTATATTTTGATTGGTTTGCATGTTGTTTGATTAGTTCGGATCGTTTGATGCTGATTTGAGGTGCTAGAGAGGCATTGGAGCCGGTTATCGAATTTCGAAGCGAGGTAAGTCTCACGTCTAACCTTGTGAGGGGAAAACTACCCCGTAGGTGTTAAATTATTATTTTCTACTAGTTATGGGTGCTACGTACGCACGAGGTGACGAATACGTAGCTAAAATCATGTTTATGTCCGGTTAGACTTAGGACTTTATCATGCTATATTTGTATTATTTGAACTCAACTTGTAAATTTAATTACTTAAATTTATAGCTGAAATTTGATTGGGGATTATGTTAGCCCGAGCTTCATTACCTTGAGTTTTGCTGGAATACTTGATTGTTGGTAAAAAGTATGCTTTCTTTATATTCCCATTCTCGTGTTGTAATTGTTTGACCCGTAGTTCGAAGAGTTTATCTATTCCTGTGGATCGGGCCGTACGCCTCGGCAGTGCTATGAAATAACACTATGGATCAGGCCGTACGACCTCGATAGTATATTTGAGATGCATCCGCGGATCGGACCGTACGACCTTGGCAGTGTATGTATACGACTTTATGGATCGGGTCGTATGCCCGCGGCATAACTCGTGCGTAATATCGCCAGGAGTCCGAGTATTCATGAGATTTTAGTTTTTGATTGAGACTTGGCATTTTATGGTATTCCTTATCTATTAGAGATAACACTTGATATTCTTATCTAGTTGAGATAGTATATGATGTTTGAGAAATTCACATTGTCATTATGTTGGAGCATTATGTTAGTTACAATTTTTACCTCATTATTATTGTTGTGTTTCATATTTATTTTGTAATTTATTATAATGATTTATTGGACCACTAGTAAGTGTCGATGTCGACCCCTCGTCATTACTTATCCGGGATTAGGCTAGATACTTACTGAGTACGCGTTAATTACGTACTCATGCTACACTTCTGCACTGATTGTGCATGTATTTTTCGATGATCATTTGGACGCAAGGGCGAAGCTGTTGAGGGGACTTTACGGTGAGCTGCATTCCTTGTTATGACCAGCAACACACGGAGTCTCCATCTTATTCATTTACTTTGTCACGTCTATTTTACACTCCTGAAAGGTTGTATTAGTATTGTACTTCATAATAGATGCTCATGCACTTGTGACTTCGAATTTTGGGGATTTCTGGTAGATGTTTATGTTATTTATCTAGTATTGTCACCATTTTCTCTTATATTTTTATTAATGCCTTATATTTTCATTTTTTTTCTATGCCTAATTTATTTTACTTAATAAAACCCATAATTTCAAAAATAATAAAATGAGCAATTAAGTTGATAGTTCACCATTGGCGTGCATAACGACGACATTGGATGCCATCAAGACCTATAGCAAAAATTAGGTCGTGACAGTTTGGTATTAGAGCAAGGTTCACGTAGGTTTCATGAGTTATGAGCAAGTCTAGTACAGTCTTGCGGATCAGTATAGAGACGTCTGTGCCTATCTTCGAGAGGCTACAGGGCTGTTAGGAGGACTTTTCTTTCTTGATTCCTTGTCGTGCGATTTGATTTCGTTAAAACTTATGTCTTCAGTTCCTTCCTACTCATTCGTAGGCGATGTTAGCCAATCAATATTAGTTGTCACCGACGAGTTGTAGAGGTATGTGGTGAAAGATATTTTTCCCTGCGTATTCAAGCAGGTTGCTATTGCCACCTCGTGGAGGGATGTTCGGTTGATTTCAACCAATGTTGGTGTTGATCATGGTTTCGAGGCTGTGCACAGTGAATTATGATGCTTATGTGTTGTTATCGCATAATGCTGTATGAATGGTATGGTGCTTGCTTATGTGTTGTGGCAGTGAATGGTTTAGAAGGAGGATTATTTGGCTCATGATTGGGAACTTTGGTATTCTTTCCAGTATTGGAGAGGCAATTGGCCTATGTATATTCAGGCGTTGGTTGATGGAGTCATGAGATTTGATATCTTCGAACTTGGTGGAATTTTTGTTTGTGTTATTGTGTCGTCGTCCTTGTTTGAACGCATTGAGTCTCGTCGGTATGATGGTCTTCATTTGTTTGGTTTTGGGACATGGTGTTGTGAAGTGGTTCCTAAGAAGCGGATATCAGAGATGGTGGTACGTGGCGGCTTCAGGTTTGAATCGGTGTTTATATTATCGACGATTCGAGGGAGATGGTCCTCAAGAGGACTAAGAGGTTCTGGTATTTTATTTGTTCGTATGCTGCAGAGATGGAGTATGATTTGAGGTAGTATTTTTAGCAGCCAAGAATAAGGAAGGAGTGGTGGGATGTGTCTCGTGGTGGTTAAATTGTTAGCAGGTCGAGTATGAACATCAGAGATCGATTAGTTCGCTTCAGAAGATGGTTAACCGAAGTGGGAGTGTTAGCGTATCGTATGGTTTTTGGTGGTAGGACAGCCACATGCTTTGAGAAAGCTTGGTGCGATTTGGGAGATGGTGACAAAGGACTAAGTATGTTTATTTTGTTTGAGATGGTGGCTTCTATATTTAGGAAGTTCGAATGTGACGGAAAAAGTTTGTGTAACGACCCGATCGGTCGTTTTTCTTTCTAGGACCCCCGTTCCCCTAAATAAGACTTCCCGTACTTGCTTTTACTGAATTATGACTTGCGGGGATGGTTGGTTCGGGATTTGGAAGAGTTTGGGTTGAAATCAGAACCTTGATTCCTTAAGGTTGGCTTAAAAGGCCAAGTTTGACTTCGCCCAACATTTTAAGTAAACGACCTCGAAATCGGGATATGACAGTTCCAATAGGTTCGTATGTTGATTTTGGACTTGGGCGTATGTCCGGATAGGGT